TGTAGTTGAGCAATGTCTTCCTTCACAACCTGCTGGTGAATGGCCAGCTTTGTCCCATTTCAATGGTCAGTGGAATCCCTTTGGCTGATGCCTACATTTTCTAAAAAGCTTTTATCTATTATCCATCCTTTGTTCTGGTGTGACAGAACAGATAAATAAAATCCTCTGAAAAGACAGGAAAGGAGGACTGAAAGAAGGGGTCCTTCCTGTGGGGGATGAATGGACAAAAGCCATTTCCTGAGGTGAGAGTTGGGCTGCTGGGGGGTAGGAGAGAGTTCTAAAAGTTGTCATCATCCATAACTTCCCAAAATATCCTGTAATCTCAAAAAATTCACTGAGTTTAATCTTTCACACAGCCATAGTCTGATGCAGCTCTCACTGTTCTCTACCATCTTTTTCCCATTTGCCCTCATACTCACTATGACACCACCAAAACAGACTTTCACCTGTTCTGGTTTAACAGTTTTCGTTCAGTCCTCTGTTGAGCTGCCCTGTGACAGCTCCCTGAAGTAACTGTCACCGCACTTGGAGAAACTCAGCACAAAGCTGTACACAAAACATTACACAAAGCTATAGGGACATCTGACATGCCACCAGTGTCTGGCTAATGCAGCAACGTGGGTTTTGCCAGAAGGAAAGCCATCTGTGACTCAGCCTCTATGCCAGATTATGGGGTTCATTGATAATATTAGCTGCATTCAGACCAGGGGAAGCAGAGCACTTTCCCCTCACAGCCCTGGCTTTCACTGCTTCCTGGCTCCATCCTGGAGCATGAGTGATGACTCAGGAAGGAATCCTGGTCATGTGGTGTCATGAAGGACACAGCGATGGATTCAAGTCAGGCCCCTGGTGAACATCTCAAGGACAGCCACAGTGTGTTCCTATTTCTCAGTCACCCAGCTGCTGTAACAATCACACAAATTCAGGGGTGGCTCACTAACCCAGCTTTGAAAAACAAACCTGCCTCTGGTTTCTACTGAGGAATACACCCCTAATAAAATATGTTTTTTGTGATCTGTGCTGATCTGAGCACACTCTATTGCTAATCATCTGCTGAGGTGGCCTCTGCCCAGCTACTGTTTTATAAGTGAAGAGTCCCATATTTATCTGCTACCCTCTAACTATTTGGTAAGAGAAAACCAAAAAGAAGTCTGTTGGCATTTTTATTATAGGGGAGGCAGTCTAAGGAGAGAGAGATGGGCATAACAAAGGAGAAAAAGAGTTCTGACTGCAGTTGGGTGACTTTCCCTGGGGCTGAAGTAAGCTCACTCACGTGGCTCTGCCTCCGGTTGCCAACACATCATAAGATCACCTCACATGTTCCACCAAACATCTAGTGGCTGCAGTTTCCCTCCATTATGTCATCACATCTATGACTATGTTAAGTGTAGTATGGTTCTACCACTTTCAGACAACAAACCACAGCAATACCAAACATTTTAAAGGATCTCTTAAGGAGTTTTAACATATGAGCTGAAATTTACCTCCCTTTGCTGCTCTTTGATAGACACTTTTTAGGATACTGCAATGCTCCAGACAGCAAGGGAAATTTAGCTGTGTTATTAACTTCTTCTTCTGTCTAAACTCAATGGCACATCCATTTCCTCAAACATTTACCTTATCCTTAAAAGATTTTCTGCTCTCCTTTTCAGCTGAACTTATGTTGAAAGATAAAAACTTCCTTATAAGCATTTAGGAAATGAAGGGGACAAAAACCAGTTCTCAGCAAAAGGAAACTCGATAAATCTGAATCACAAACCTTGGAAAACAAGGGCTGACAAGAACCTCGTGATCTGAAGGAGCTGAACCCTTCTCACAAGACCTGTTAAAGTTCTACCTTATGGATTAAGCCTGGCTCCAGCAGAAATCAGAAAGGACTCTTGAGATGATTGTATCAAACCATGTCTAAACCCCTTTAATCCCTTTCCCCCTATGTAATCTTGGTTGAGGGAAATATTTAACCCATTGGGC